ACCAGTGATTCCAGGGGCAGGAGGTGATCTCCCAGCCCTGTGCAGGCGCAGGAAGGCGCATCCGGCAGCCCTGAGCTTTGGTGCTCATTGCAGTCATGGAGACGTGGTGGGAAATGAATCACCGGGTGGGGAGCAGTGATTCGTGGTTGTCCAACTGCTGAGCCGGTCCCGATGTCTGTGTGCACAGCAGTGCTTTTCCCAGGGTCTTAATTCTGCTCCCACAGACTCTTCCTGCACAAACTGGGACTCCAGTAGCCGAGGGAGCCAAGGGCACAGCCTGACCCTGCTGCTGTCCCATGTCACGGCCATTGAGCCCCAGTAGGATGAGAGCCACGTTGGCTCAGTGGGGCCGGGAGGTGGTGTGGATGCTTTTGGGTTGAGCCAAAGCCGGCGCTCCCAGCCAGCCGTGCAGGGTGTGACTGCTGCAGCACCCATGGGTGCCCGGGGCGATGCAGTGCCAGCTCTGGGGGCTGAGTTTCGGTGGTGTTGACTCAGCAGGATGGGGGTGGTAGCTCTGCATTCCTGGCGCTCCTGATGTCAGCGTCTTTCTGGGGAGCGGGTCAGCCCAGGGCTGGGCTGGGAGAGTCTGTGCCTCGAGGGACCCTCAGTGGCACTGCATGGCAGCTCGGTGCACTGGCAGTTGCACAACGGTGTGCTAAGTGCTGGGTGTGCACCTTCCCTCTGTGCAATGGGGAGATGCCTCCAGCCCTCCCTCTGCGCTGGGATCATCCCAGCTGGAGATCTGTCCCTTCCCAGTGCTTTAGAGGGCACTGTTTGCCTTCACCAGAGCTCTGTCCCAGCTTGGGGCTGGCAGAGCTGAGCCGTTGCCATCCATCAGAGGTGGCACAGTTGGGCACTTATGGGGTGAGAAATTGGTGGGTTGGGGGCACCAGCCCCTTCCCAGCAGCTCAGTGCTGAACCCCACTCCCAGTATGGCCTGATCCAGTGCCACAAGTTAATTTTACCCTGACTCTGCATCCCCGGGGTGGCAGAGGGACAGGCAGAGGGACAGACATGCAGATCCATGAGGGGCTCCATCGGGCACAGCTGAGCAGTCCCAGCCAGGAGGCATTGCCCCTATCCTATCCTATCCTATCCTATCCTATCCTATCCTATCCTATCCTATCCTATCCTATCCTATCCTATCCCCTTCTGGTCCCCTGCAAAAAGTTTTGGCCCAACTGCCAAATCACTGCTTTTCTCTTCTCTTGACAGGAGGAGGAGAATGGGAACCGAGCAGGTAAGCACCGAGCTGCGGGCACCCAGTGTGGGGGGTGGTGTGGGGCAGAGCAGGAGCTGAGCTGTGGGGTGGCACAGCACTCAGTGGCAGCGTGGGGACGAGCAAACAGGTGCCTCTGCATCCCTCCGATGGGGGTCGTTGGGTGCTGTGCCATAGGGGACATCCCAGAGGGACGTGGTGGGGCTGTGCTGTGGGTCAGTGCTGAGATGGGGCCGTGTCCTCACTGTGCTGCAGCCAGCAGTGATGGGAATGAATGTGAAGGCGTCGGAACGCATCGCTGAGCTGCTGGGCTGATGAGGCACCGTAGGGTTGGGAGGGCTGTGGGGTGGCGAGACCCAGTGCTGGGTGCCCCTGGGGACGGGGTGGGGGTGGGGAATTCCCCAGGGAATTCAGCAGTGCCACATTGACACCGCGTCCCCCCTGCCTGCCTGCCAGCACCGGGACGTGCAGCAAGGGATGTTTTCTGTATTTGCAAAGGATGGGGAGGAGTTGTGGCTGCTTTGGTGGCATGCAGGAGCACAACAGGGTGTGAGGAGTGTGTGTAGGGTGTGTGCATGGGGTGTGCACAGCGCATGCATGATGGCTGTGCCGGGTGCATGCATGGGGTGCACATGGTGCATGCACCACGTGCTCCTGGCCTGCTGCTTGCAGGACTCAGCCATGCTGAGGGCTCGCTGACAGCCTGTCCCTCTGGTGCAGGTCCCACCCGGAGCCGCCTGGAGCCCATGGACACCATCTTTGTGAAGAATGTAAGGGAGGATGGCCCGGCGCACCAGGCAGGGCTGCGCACTGGTGAGCAGCATGCAGAGGTGGCAGAGGTTTGGGGCTGGGGGGGCTGCACCACTCCCTGCCCCTCCGCCCTGCATATATGGACCTGTTTTGGTCCCATTTACGCGTTCTCTGTCGATTTTCCCGTTTTCCCATCCCTGTGTGGGGATGCCCATAGCAGCATTGGTGTCACACGGGACAAGGTTCTGCTCCCAGCCCTGCTATGAGGGGACAGCCAGGTGTCACCACCCACCACTTGCTGGAGGGTTGACTCTGTCTCCCCCCACCCCACAGGGGATCGGCTGGTCAAGGTGAATGGGGATAGCATCATTGGGAAAACCTACTCGCAGGTCATCGCTCTCATCCAAAACAGGTGAGTTCCTGCTGCACTGAGGCTGTGACTTGTGGGGATGGGGACGTTTGTCCCCTCCTGGGATGAGGACGCTGTCACTGCTCTGCATGGCCGAGAGCTGGGGGAGATGCTGTGGGGACACAGCCATGTGTGCCATATCCCTTCCTGACCCCTGTCTCTCCACAGTGACAATGTGCTGGAGCTCTCCATCATGCCCAAAGATGAGGACATCCTCCAGCTGGTGAGTCTTACTGCCTTGCTGTGTTGGCCTCAAGCCCCTTCCCCCAGTCCTGGGGGTCCTGGGGGCACCAGTGCTGCACTGAGTGCAGAGCTTACAGCCAGGCAGTGGGATTCCTCCTGCTGTTTGTTGGCTGGGGGCTCTCCTGCTTGTGTCCCCACTGCTGTCCTCATACATCAACCCAAAGGGGCAGTGGGGGTCTGGCAGCCCTGCTGGGGGGCTCTCACAACTGTGCCCACCCACTCCTCAGGCCCTGAGGTTTCCCCAGGGCGTGGGGTCAGAGGTGTGCATGAAAAGTGAGAAAGGGAGGGCAGGATGGGCTGGTGCTGCATCCCGGGGTGTTTTGGGAAGGAGAAAGGTTTGTGGGGGGTGGCAGCGATGTGTGGCTGTGGGGAGACTGGAAGGGGGTGGACATGGGACAGCAGTGCTGGGGGGCTGCAGGAGACCCCAGGGTTGGAGTGGGATGTTGTGGCTGCACCCCCCTAGCCTGACTGCCCCCCCACCCTCCCATTTCCACAGGCCTATTCACAGGATGCCTACCTGAAGGGCAATGAGCCGTACTCCGGTGGGGCGCAGAGCATCCCCGAGCCCCCCCCCATCTGCTACCCACGCAAGACGTACCCCTTCCAGACACGGGGCTCTGAGCCCCCCCCGGGCGCCCCACCGGACCCCCGCTCCCACCACCCCGCCGGCCCCTCATCCCCGCACAGCACTGCCTACAGCAAAGCAGGGGGCAGCCCCGCACACCGCCCTGAGGATCCACGCGCCGGGGTTCCCCCGCACCACCACCCCGCAGCTCCCCACGGCCGCCGCAGCGGCTGCCCCGAGCGCTACGGCGTTCTGCCCGCCGCCCCTTCCTGCTACGGGACCCCGAAGCACGTGGCGGAGCACCGGACTCATTGCGGCCCCCGGGAGGGCAGCACCGCGCGGCCGCCGGGTCGCCAGGAATGCCAGCGGGCGCTGTCGCGATGGTTTTGCAGCCAGGAGCCGCGACGCAGCGCCTCGGAGGAGCGCCGGCACGCCATGCCGCCCCGATCCCGTAGCGTGTCCCAGGAGAGGTTGGGGGGCTCGGCGCACCCCCGGGGTTGGCCCCATAGCGCATCGCACGATACCCTCCTGCAGCCCAACCGCGAGGCGTGGGCGCAGCACCGGGCGCGCTCCGAGCATCACCTGGGCAGGTGCGGCCGTTCCATGGAGGCTCTGGAACCCGCAGCTCTGCTCTCCCCGCGTCTCGACCGCACCGCGTGGCATCCCGAGAGGCTCTGCAGAGCTACGGCCGCGGGACAGCCCGGCGTGCACGGCTCCTTCGTGCCATCCTCCTCCTCCTCCTCCTCCTCCCCTCCCCCGCGGGATCCGGCGGTGCAGAAGCACCCATCGCAGCCTAACCTGCAGAGCGTGGACGATTCGGGTTACATCGGCTACCGCAGCTACAGCCCGTCCTTCCAGCGCCGCACGGGGCTGCTGCACGCCCTGTCCTTCCGCGACCCGACCTTCGGCGGGCTGCCCACCTTCAGCATCGCGCACACGGCGGCCCCCGCCGCCCCTCCACCGCCCCCCGAAGCTCCCCGGGAGCAGCGCACGGAGAGCAGCCGTGCGGAGGAGCGACGCGAGGAGGTGGTGCTGCGGCAGAAGCCCCCCACTGGCCGAAAGGTGCAGCCCCCGCTGCGGCAGATGAACTTTGTGTTCGCTGGGAGGGGGAAGGAGACGGACATTTGTGACCCCCCCGCAGCCAGCAGCAGGGAGGAGAGGTCTGTGGGCGAGCACTCGGGCCGGCGTGTGGCCCCGTTAGCAGCCCCCGAGGACTCGCTGGCGTCCATCCCCTTCATTGGTGAGTGGGGTCAGTGCTGGGATGGGCGACGTGATGGGTGCTGTGGTGGGGAGGGCACCCACATGGAGCTGCTCCCTCCTGCGTGGGGCTGCTCCCCCAGGGTGGGTGCAGCAGGGGTCAGCGTGGCTCGGTGCAGCGAGGGCTCCGTTCTGCCCCGAGCCTTCCTGTGACCCTCCTGCCCCATCCCACAGATGAGCCCACCAGCCCCAGCATCGACCTGAAGGCCAAGCACATCCCCGCCTCCTCCGTTGTCTCCAGTGCCATGAACTCAGCGCCTGCAGTGGCCACCAGCCCCTCCTCCTCACCCACCTTCGCCTTCGCCCTGAGCCGGCACTACTCACAGGACTGCAGTGAGTGGGGCTGGGGGGGGACTGAGGGAAGCAGCCCCCACAGCTGGAGTTGGGTGGCATAGGGATGAGGAGCTCAGCAGGAGGAGGGCTGTGGTTCTGCCCCTCCGTGGCACCACGCTGAGCCACGCAGAGCCCCACGGCCACATGCTGTGCCCTCCTCCCCACACAGGCAGCATCAAGGCCGGCCGCCGCTCCTCCTACCTGCTGGCCATCACCACCGAGCGCTCCAAGTCGTGTGATGATGGGCTGAACACATTTCGGGATGAGGGGAAGATCCTCAGGTAGGGTCGATCCAGGCACCACGCAGCCCCCTGTCCCCTCCCTGCAGTGCCCCCCTGCTCACGGGGCTGCTTTCCCACAGGAGGATGCCCAGCCGGGTCCCCAGCCTCCGCATGCTGAGGAGCTTCTTCACTGATGGGGTGAGCGCTGTGCGGGTGCTGGGGGGGGTACCAGGAGGACCCGTGGGATGGGGGGACAGTGCCAGCCTTGCAGTCTCTGGGTGGCACCTTGGGGTGGGGGTACCAAGGCTGTGCATCCATGGGGTGGTGGGAGCGATGCCGGCTCCTTGTGGCCCCATGTGCGCCGTCACCCCGCAACCTCTGGGTGACTGCTGGGGACCAGTTGGAGCCGTGGGTGATGCGGTGATGATGGCAACCCCTGCGACCCCACGTGCCCTGTCACCCCGCAGTCTCTGGACAGCCTCGGTACGTCTGAAGACACCCGCTCCAAACGGCACTCCACCTCTGACCTGTCGGACGTCACGTTCAGCGACGTCAGGAAGGAGGGCTGGCTGCACTACAAGCAGATCCTCACCAAAAAGGGGAAGGTACGGGGTTGGGGGGGGGGGAGGGAGGAGTTCCCCAGCCTGGCTGGCGACGTGTGACCCTCAGAGCCGTGACTCCCGGTCTTTTCTCCCTGCAGAAAGTTGGCGGAGGCCTCCGGCAGTGGAAGCGCGTCTTCGCGGTGCTGCGCACCCACTCGCTGTACCTGTGCAAGGACAGGCGGGAGGCGGTGAGCTGCGGCCCGGCCCCAGGTGAGGAGGAGCAGCCGATCAGCATCCGAGCGTGCCTGGTGGACATCTCCTACAGCGAGACCAAGAGGAAGCACGTCTTCCGCCTGACGACCGCTGACTTCTGTGAATATCTCTTTCAGGCAGAGGATCGGGAAGACATGCTGGCCTGGATCAAAGTCATCAGGGAGAACAGCAAGGCTGAGGGCGAGGTGAGAGCCACACGGCGCTCCCGGCTGCCTCTGGCTCTCCCGGCGCTAACGCCTCGGCTCTCTCCGGCTCTTTGCCTTGTGCTGCTTCCCCTGGCCGCGGCCAGCTGTGCTCCCAGGGCTCCAAGAAGAGCGCGGCTCAGCGCGGCCGGGCGGCGCATCGCGCGGTGCGGCTCTCGGAGCATCGTGGTGGCTCAGCCAGGATTCTGTGCCTGAGCGGCGGTGTTTGGTTGCGTTGTGGTTGAGGAGCGTGCGTGGCTCGGTTGGAAGCCCGGTGCTTTGGTGCCGTGGGGTGCGTTGGCACCGTGGGGCTCATCGGCCCGTGGGTGAGATCTGGAGCTCTCTGCGTGTGCTGGATGCGGTGCCGCAGTGCTGCCCGCTCTTGGGGCAAGTGTGGGGTCAGTGCTGAGCTCTTGCTGGGTGTTTGTGGTCTGTGCAGTGGTTGCTTGGGTCAGAGAGGGGCCACCAGCTCCACCAGAGGGCTGTACAGGGTGGATGTGCCGATGCCGAGCTGGTTGTGCCGGTGCTGAGCTGGTTGTGCAGGCACTGGGCTGGTGCGCACCATGTCGCCACGGTGCCAGGATGGCACGGATTGGTCTCAGGATTTGTGCTTGGTTGTGGCAGGCTCTGACTCTGGAGGGCGCACTGAGCTCAGGGCAGTGTCTGTTTTGCTGCAGCGCAGCCCCGTTTGGAGGGCATGGAGCTGGCAGGGCTGGGTTGGAGCACGTGGAGCTGTGTGGGCGCCCGCTGGGGCCGCAGTGCCAGCAGGCAGGAGGAGAACGGAGCGTGTCTTGGAGTGCTGTAGGGCACAGTGTGTGTGTCTGGTGGTGGCAGATGGAGGTGCAGGGATGGATGGGTCTTTGAGCCTTAGCAGAAGGCTTGGACCCCATGCGTGGTGCGCCGTGGTGAGGAGCACCGCAGACCTCGGCATGGTGCTGGGTGCCACTTTGGGGCACGGGGCCCCGGTGCTGTGCTCAGCCCAGCTCGGGGCTGGCAGGAACCCTCCTGGTGAGGAGTGCCAGAGGTGGCCGTGGGCTGTGGCTCCCGGCAGAGTGTGGTGCCTGGTGCCCGCAGAGAACGCGCTGCTCAAGCTTCCCCTTCCCCTCTTCTCTCTGCTCCCCAGGACCCCGGTTTTGCCAGCCAAGCACTTATCAACAAGAAGCTCAACGACTATCGGAAAGTGAGGTACGCACCTGGTGCTGTGGGGCACAAGTGGGGCACCTGCCTGCCCCGGGATGCCCCAGTGAGAGGTGGCACCATGCTCCCGGAGCTCTTTATTCACCTGAATTTCCAAGTGATGGAGCAAAAAAGCAGTGCATCCTGTAGTGGGGTGGCACCCAGCTGCTCCTGGCTCCGGTTGGGGTGCAGGAAGGGCCCCATCCAGCCAAGCTGGCACAGAGCAGAGGGTGAAGCCGGCTCAGAGCTCCCTTGGTGCTGGCACGGTGCTCAGCCCTTGTTAACCCTGAAAACACAGTGCTGCCCTGTGGGGTCAGTGCTGAGGGCAGGAAGGGCCCTATGAGCGCACACAGAGCCAGGGCAGGATGCTAAGTCAGGGTTTGCAGGGCAGATTTTGGGGACCCACCTACAGTGCTCAGCCCTGCCGTGCCCCCTGACCCCGCTCTCCCTGCAGCCCGGCGGGTGCCAAGCCCGACTCCTCACCCAAGGGCTCCCGTGGGCTGGGGATCAGAGCCGAGTTCCTGAAGCAGACGGGAACCAGTGCACCCCGATCCCCGAGGCAGGATGCGGCCGTCACCAAAGGTAAATCCCCCCCCCCTGCAGTATGCAGAGCCCAGGCGTGGCAAAGCCTCATGGAGAGGGATGGTGGCATGCAGCAGGGATGCTCTTGCTGCTGATTCATATAGCTAAAAGCCCTGTGTTTTATTTTATTTTATTTTGGTGTGGTTTTTTTTTTTTTTGCCAGATGAAAGCAGCTCCCAAAAAGCCCCTTGGGGCATTAACATCATGAAGAAGAACAAGAAATCTGCCCCTCGAGCCTTTGGTGTGAGGCTGGAGGACTGCCAGCCTGCCCCAGACAACAAGGTATGGTGTGTGGCAGGGACAGCCCCAGGGGTCCCACCCAGCCATGGCACCTCCATCACCCCGTGTGTCCCCCCCTCCCCCAGAACATCCCCCTGATCGTCGAAGCCTGCTGCAAGGTGGTGGAGGACCGTGGCCTGGAGTACATGGGCATCTACCGTGTGCCTGGGAACAACGCTGTGGTGTCCAGCCTGCAGGAGCAACTTAACAAAGGAGCCACTGAGATCAACCTGCAGGATGAGGTGTGTGTCCCCATCCCTGTCCTGGTGTCTGAAATACTTTTAGGGCTGTTGTCCTGGTCCCCATCTCCATCACGATCCCCATCTCCATCACAGTCTCCCTCTCCAATCATGGCCCCCAGCTCCCATCACGGTCCCCATTACAGTTCTCATCCTCATGGCAGGACCTTCCCTGGGCTGGCAGGGCCGCCTGGTGGCCAATGACAGCAGTGTGGGTGGCAGTTTGGGGACACATCTGTCACTTGGCACCTCACACTTTCCCCACAGCGCTGCGGTGGCACTGGGCTTCCCCTGCTGGCACTGGCGGGTGTCCCTCTTGGTGTTGGTCACCTGGGTTGGGGACTTCATCCTTCAGGCGTTGGGGTTTGAGCATCCTTCTCTCTCCCCACAGCGCTGGCAGGACCTGAACGTCATCAGCAGTCTGTTAAAATCCTTCTTCCGAAAGCTGCCTGAGCCCCTCTTCACCGATGGTGAGTCCTTCCCCTGCCCCTCTGTGCCCCATCCCGCTGGGACCCCCCCTGACCCCCCACCCCCTCAGCCTCCCCTGCTCCTCTACCCCAGCCCTGAGCCCTCTGTGTCCCTTTCAGATAAATATAATGATTTCATTGAGGCCAACCGGATCGAGGATGCCAGTGAGAGGATGAGGACACTGCGGAAGCTGGTAGGGAGATGGGGGCAGGTTGGGGGACATGGGCTGCCTGGGGGGGGGGGGGCAGAGGGGTGACCCAATGCCTCCCACAGATCCGGGACCTGCCAGGGCACTACTATGAGACACTCAAGTTTCTGGTGGGTCACCTGAAGACCATCGCAGACCACTCGGAGAAGAACAAGGTAATGGGGCTGAGCTGCACCCCGTGTGGGATGGGGAGGGATGGGGCAGCCGATGGGACAACTCACCGACCCCGGGTTCTGGTTATAGATGGAACCCCGAAACCTGGCGCTGGTGTTTGGCCCCACTCTGGTGAGGACATCTGAGGACAACATGACAGACATGGTGACACACATGCCCGACCGCTACAAAATCGTGGAGACCCTCATCCAGCACGTAGGTGGAGCTGCCCTATGGGGCCACCCAGCACCCCCTGGGGTGGCCACGCTCAGCTCCTCGTTGTGCTCTGACCCCTCTCCTGTCTCCCTCTGCAGTCAGACTGGTTCTTCAGCAACAAGGAGGACAAGGGTGAGAAGGTGAGTCCTTCTGGGAGCGGGGCTCAGGGCGCACAGTGAGGTGGCCGCTCCTTGGCTCAGACCCACAGTGCCACCCCCACCCCCTGACCGTGCATCCCCCCATCCCTTCGCAGACCCCGGTGGATGAGAAGGAGGCTCAGTCCGTGCCCAACATTGAATACCTGCTGCCCAACATCGGCCGCACCGCAGCGCCCGGCGATGCCCCAGGTGAGGAGCTGTGCCCCACGCAGGGTCCCCAACTCTGTGCCCTCTCTGTCCCCCCACTCGCAGCCTCTGTGACTGCAGCTCTGTGCATGCAGAGCACGATGTCACAGCAGCCTCCTTGCTGGGACACCTGGGGGTCCCACCCTACTTTCTGTAACCCCCCCCCGGTGGCTGCTCATCCCCACGACCCCACCGGGTGGCACCCAGCCTGCTGCCCACCCCCCTCCCCCCCACACTGCACCTCTCACGCTGTCAGCCCGGAGATTTGGAGACTTCGATGTTGGACTGATTTCTGTTGTTCTTTCCTTGAACTTCTCTGTGCTGTCCTCTTCCTCCTCCTCCTCCTCTTCCTCCTCCAGCGGACCTCCTCGAGAGCTAGAGCGGGTACAGTGTTGCTCTGGGTGCATTGCTCACGCACTAATTCCTCCGGGTGACCACGAGAGAGGGGGACAGGAGGGGGGTGGGGGGGGGGGGGGGGGTGTCCTGCCCTTCCCCAGGGGGCTGTGTGCTCTAGGGAAGCCACAATTCCTCCATCCCTCCTTCTCCCCCACCTCTTCATGGGGGCTCTGAGTGCCCCTGGGGTCGGTGCCATGTGCCCCAGCAGTGGTGCACCCCAACACCGGGGTCTGGGGGGGTCCACATGCTCTGGGAAGGGCTCAGCACCCCCCTTTCTGCCTCCTCCTCTCTCATTGTCAGCACCTGCTAACCCCATCCCTGGGCTGGGGTGTGTGGGGGGGGTGAGGGTGTCTGTTGTGTTGTCCCCCACACTGTGGCAGAGCCAAGGCTGCTTGTCACCCTCGTGTCCCCCTGTCACCCTCGTCCCCTTACTGGTCTCTTCGTATCCCCTAATCCACCAGGGAACCCACAGCCCTGTCTCAGCCCCCCCCCAGCTCAGCCCATCCCTGCACCTGCCCCATTGCAGACTTGAGTGAATACTGAGGCAGTGTCCCATCCTGGTGATGCCCTGCTGCTCTCCATACCCCATTGGCTCAGGGTCCCACGGCCAGGCTCTCAGCAGCATTTTTCAGCTGCACATCCCTATGTGTGTGCATCCCCCTCCTCCCCCCCAATCAGAGCCCCCACCTTTCAGCTCCTGTCTGCAGCCACACAGCCCCCCTTGGCTCTGGGGACTGATGGCCCCGGTTGCATCCTCCTCCTCTTCCATCTATGGGAGCAAAGCAATGTCCTATCCGCCCCCCCTCCTCCCCCCATCATGCCCCCACCCCACAGTGGCCTCGCTGACCCCCTTCTCTCCTCTCTGCTTTACAGACTCGACCCACAGCGGCTCCGCCAAACTGAAGGTGAGAGGGAACCCGGGCTGGGGGTGGAGCTGGAGCGGGGAGGGGGGGGGCACGAGGGGGAGGGGATAGAGGGAGGGGATGGAGGGATTGAGGGAGGTGATGCCCCACTGCTTGTGGGGTCGGGGTGCACAACGCGGCCCTAAACCTTGCATTGCCATCCTCGCAGGGCACGTGGCCGTCGCGGAAGGAGCCGTCGCCCCGCGAGCTCCCGGCCATCCCCTTCATCTCCGCCGTCGCCCGCAAGAGGAAGAAGTGGCGTGAAGCCGAATGCTTCGGCAGCAGCACCGACGACGACGCGGAGCACAGAGATACGCGGGGCCGGGGGCAGGAGGAGGGCGCGGCCACCGCACCGGGACCCGGCGGAACCCCACGCACCGGGAAGGAGAACGCCGTGGAAACCGGCGGTACCGGGCAGGAACCGGCAGCGGACGCCCGCTCCATCGTGTCGGGATATTCCACTCTATCCACCATGGAGCGAAGTCTGAGCTCCGAGGTGCAGTCGGTGGCCGAAAGCCGCGGGGAGGAGGCGGATGATGAGCGCAGCGAGCTGAGCCACGCGGAGACGGACACGGAGAGCCGCGCGGGGCCGGGGGGGGCGGCAGCTGGGCTGGGGGGCGGCGATAGGGCATCACCCGGCCGGCCCTCCTTCAGTTCCCACCGCCTCATCCAATGCGATACGTTGGCACGTAGGAAGCTGGGTAGGGCGCGGCCGGGGGGGGACAACCCGCTGCCCACCGGAGACGCCGCGCTGCCCGTCGGGGATCTCGCCCTGACCGTCACAGACGGCGCTGGGGGCGGTCGGGTCCCCCCGGTGCGGCCGTCTTTGCGGGAACAGCTCCGGCAGCGGCTGCGGGGCTCTGCGGATGATGCGGGGGTGCGACTGCGGAGGACCCCCTCCCCGGAGACCCGGCGTAGGAAGAGCCGTTGGAGGCGGCACACGGTGCTGGTGCTGCCCGGCGGTATCACCGACCTCAATTGCAACGAATGGAAGGGGTCGAGGGGGGGGCTGGCGGTGACCACCGGACCGTTCCGCGATCCGGATTCCGGGCTCAGCAGCCTGGAGTCCACCAAAACCCGGCCCGTGGTTCCCGACCCCCCCGGCACCGGGACCCCCCCGGGCAGCCCCAGCCCCGCCACCCCCCTACGCTTCCCTCAGTGTCTGTGACCTCCTGGGGCTGCTGCCGATTCCCCCCTCCCCCTCCGCTCCCCTTCCCCTTCCAGCTTATGGGGTGTTGGGGGGGTGGTGGTGGGGGGCACAGAGTTTAATTTAAGGACTCGCCTTTGTGCTTGTATTTAATTGTGCTGTTATTTAACTCTCTCCCTATGGCCCCGGTGCAGCCCCAGGAGGGACGAAGCCACCTTGTCCCCCCAACCCCATGCTATGGTG